GGGCACGTCGTGAAGGCCCCCCCATCATTGGCTGCGGCTGCACACACGGTCCTTGTGCTCAGGGCTGGGCTGGAGCTGCTCTCCAGCCACAGCAGCAGCGCCAGGCTCTGCTGACAGGCCCTGCTGGGGGCTCCCAAACTGTGCTGAGGCACTGGGGACCCCCATCCCTGTGCTGTCCCTGGGGCACTGGGGACCCCCATCCCTGTGCTGTCCCTGGGGCACTGGGGACCCCCATCCCTGTGTTCCTGCCTGGCAGAGCTGGGGTTGGTACTGCATCCTGGCTGTCACAGCTGTGGCCAGGAGGATGCGCAGCTTCTCCATGTCTCCCCCCATGGCTGCCAGGCTCCAGGCTGTCGCTGTGCTGGGGGACAGCCCCACACTGGGGGTTAGGGACCCCAGGTCCGATGGATGTGGGACAGGTCCCCACAGCTCCCCTCTTGCTAGGGGAGGATTCTCTGGTAGACAGAGCTGGTGCGTGGTGCTCCTGTGGGTATCCTGCCCTGAGCTGTTGGGTGTTGGGTCTCTGCAGCCTGCCCTGCCCTGGAGTGCTGCCAGGCTGCTCCAGTCCTGTCAGCCATGGAGCAGATACCCTGCACAGCTGCTCCCTGCCTCCCTGCAGTGCTCAGAGTCAAGTCTGGCCCCTGTGTGTCGCTGTGTCACCTCAGCCTTGGTGCTGGCCATGGTGGGGCAGGCGCCCATCATCTCTCCCTGCAGAGTGTTTCAGGGGCTGCTGCCTCCAGCACAGAGGCAGGCCTGGCTCCTGGGGGCCCTGTGCCACCTGTTTGCTCCTCCCTGTGCTTCAGCTCCTGCTGTGCTGGGGTCACTGCTCTGGGGAATGGTGGGACAGGGACTGGGAGCCCTGGCCAGGGCCGTGAGGAGCTGCAGTCCAGGCTCCAGGCAGGGAGCTCCCAGGACAGCCAAAGCCTGCCCTGACCCCCTTCTGCTCTCTTCTAGATGGGTCCCTCCACAAGCACCTTATCTGCAAGGTCAGTGTTCCCTGCTATGGTGATCCCTGTCGGGTTCCCCAGCAAGCCCCCAGCGTGCAGGTGGCACAGCCTGGGGAGCCGAGGCACCTGCACAGTGTTGGAGGGGCAGAGCACGGCAGTGCTGTGCCCACCCCAGGCCTTGGGGCACGGGTGGCACCGTGCAGGGCTGTGACCCAGGGCTCTCCCTTGGCCCCCAGGTGCAGTGCATCACCACGCTTCAGGTGGGCTCCGTCCAGGCAGGTCATGCATCTGAGTGTGGGCAGTGCCTCAGTCTCTCCTGGATGCCTTCCAAGCCCCACCATCACCTGGCAGCAGGGTTTTATGACGGTGAGTCTCTTTCTGTGCCCTGCAGCAGCACTGGGGGAGCAGCCCTTGCCCTGGCAGAGGCACTGCAGCCTCAGCTGCTCAGCCTCAGCTGGTGCTGGAACCTCTGCCCAGCCCTGGCTCAGGGGGAGGCTTCTCTGGGCTGGCTGTTGTCATTCTGACATACCTTCAGGCTGGTCACTGATCATCCCTGTCTGTGCCTCTGGGCTTGTCCACATCTGTTGAACTTGCCTGGGTGGAATTTTCTGCTGGGCTTGCAGTGATCCACAGCTCTGTGCTATGTTGCCAGGACCTGCTACCATGCTGTCTGCTTGGAGTCCCAGCTCCAGCCTGGCCCCTGTGGCCCTGCCTGTGCCCTGTCCCGCTCTCAGCCGCAGCCCCAGCTCCAGCCTGGCTGCTGTGCTGTGCAGCTCCCACAGCCCTGCCTGTGCTGCTGCTGGTCCCCTGCTGAAGCACCTTTGGCATTGTCAGTGCCTCATGGACACAGGTCTTTCCACAGGCACCGTGGCAGTGTGGAACCTGCTCACCAAATCCCTGCTGCAGTGCGTGCACCAGCCGGACGCCTCCCTCAAGCTCTACCCTTTCCGGTGCTTCCTGGCCCATGACCAGGCAGTCCGGAGCATTGAGTGGTGCAAGGCTGACAGGTGAGGGCAGGAGCAGCCACAGGTGCTGCCAGGAGAGGAGCTTCCTCCTGCAGAAGCAGCTCTTTTGTGCAGAAGGGCTTGAGAGGCTGTGGTGCCAATGGTCCTCTCTGCAGCACCAGAGGGGTTGGGTTGGGCTTTCCTGGGTGAGGGCAGTGGAGTCACTGCAAGGCTGGGGCCGCCTGGGCCCTGTGCTGGGCCAGGGCATGTGCCGGGCTCTCAGTGCTGCCTTTCTGCTGCTTCTCAGCAACTTCCTGGTGACGGTGGGCAGCGACCGCAAGATCAAGTTCTGGGACCTGCGGCGGCTCTACGAGCCCATCAACAGCATCAAGCGCTTCCTGAGCACCGAGGTGGCCTGGCTGCTGCCCTACAACGGCATCACCGTGGCCCAGGACAACTGCTACGCCCCGTGAGTGCTGGGGGCCAGACCTGCTGCCAGGCCTAGTCCAGCTTCCCTGGGGCCCCTCTGGCTTCCCCCTCCCTGGGACTGTGCAGCTGCGCCATGGCAGGGGCAGGCTCTGCTTGTGTCACACCGCAGCAGCAAAGTGTGGCATCCCCTCTGCCATGCCACCCTGAGGCAGAGGCAGGGTGGGCCAGGGCATGGCCTACCCCTGGACTGGGCAAGAGGTGTGCTGCTAAAGGGGTTTGGGAACTCAGTGAGTCCTTGGCCTCTGGGAGCTGCCTTGCCTGTGCTTGCTCTGGACTCTGTGCCGTGCTGCTGGAGCAGGAACAGCCCCCTCACCCTGGGCCAGTTCTGTGGGGAGGTGGCTGTGCCTGGCTCTCACATCCCTGGTGACAGCAGAGTTAGGCACCCCAGGCCTCATTCTGTGCCTTCCCCCACAGGTATGGGCTCTGTGGGATCCACTACATCGACGCCGGGTACCTGGGCTTCAAGGCCTATTTTGTGGCCCCTCGCAAGGGCACCGTGTGGGTAAGGGCCAGGGCAGGGCCACTCTGTCCCAGTGGCCAGCTCAGAGCCAGCTGGGGCCCAGGGCTTGTGGTGGGAGCCCCGTGCCCTCCAGCCCTCTGTCCCTGCAGAGCATCTCTGGCTCGGACTGGCTGAACACGGTGGCTGCAGGTGACATCACCGGCGAGCTGGTGGCAGCAGTGTTGCCTGACCTGGCTGTCAACCCCCTCAACATCAAGCGCTCCTCAGACCGCAGATTTGTAAGAGACCATCGCTCCTGGGGGGCCCAGCCCAGCACACAGGGCCAGCAGGGGCAGGGGACCACAGGAGAAATGTCCTGGGCCCCCATCCCACTGGTGCCTGGTGGTGCCTGTCTGCAGAGGAGCAGTAGGATCTGTGCCTGCCCTCCCCTGAGCTGCCTCTCCCCCACAGCCCGTGTACAAAGCTGACCTGCTGCCATGCAGCCCTGAGGGGCCCGAGGGCAGCGAGCAGGCCCTGCCCAGGACCCATCGCTACAGCGAGATGGCAGCCAGGAGCTACCTCCGCTTCCAGGACACCGACCTGGTACGAGAGGCTGGGGCAGCCAGGGTCTGACCCCGAGCAGGGCTGGGGGGCTGTGGCTGGGCAGGGGGATGGCACAGTCTGACCCTGAGCAGGGCTGGGGGGCTGTGGCTGGGCAGGGGGGGAATGGCAGGGTCTGACCCCGAGCAGGAATGGTGGGGCTGTGGCTGGGCAGGGGGATGGCAGGGTCTGACCCCGAGCAGGAATGGTGGGGCTGTGGCTGGGCAGGGGATGGCAGGGTCTGACCCCAAGCAGGAATGGTGGGGCTGTGGCTGGGCAGGGGATGGCAGGGTCTGACCCCGAGCAGGAATGGTGGGGCTGTGGCTGGGCAGGGGGATGGCAGGGTCTGACCCCGAGCAGGAATGGTGGGGCTGTGGCTGGGCAGGGGATGGCAGGGCTGGCCCCGAGCAGGGCTGGGGGGCTGTGGCTGGGCAGGGGATGGCAGGGCTGGCCCCGAGCAGGGCTGTGGGGCTGTGGCTGGGCAGGGGATGGCAGGGCTGGCCCCGAGCAGGGCTGGGGGGCTGGGGCTGGGCAGGGGATGGCAGGGCCAACAGATGCTGCTGGGGCAGGGCTGAGGTCGTGGTGCATGCGCTGCTCCTGCCCTGGGCCCGCAGCCCAAGGTGGTGCCTCCATTTGCAGCGCAGCTTCCAGAACTTCCCGAGCCGGGAGCCCATGCGGCGCATGCACGTGCAGGAGCTGAAGGCAGAGCTGAGCCTCGACCGCCTGCAGCTGGAGGCCCTGCACAAGGTGGGTGTGCCACGTGAGCCCAGCCCTGCGCTCGGGTGGCTCTGCTCTGCTCTGCTCTGGGGCCGAGTCCCAGCACCCAGCCCTGTCCCTTAGGGGCTCCTCTCTCCCACAGGTGCGCTTCAGCCCCAACCTGGACTCGCAGGGCTGGCTGGTGTCGGGCGGGCAGGCGGGCATTGTGCGGGCACACTGCCTGGCAGGGCTGGCCTCCGTGGGCCACCAGCTGCTCCCAGAGTGCCAGGCCCGCTTCAGCGTCCTCTATGGGGACACACCCAGCAGCCCTGGCCCCCCTGAGCCCTCCCTGCTGCCAGGGGAGTAGGGTGTCAGTGCCTCACCTGGGCAGGGCTTGGGGCTGGGCCAGCTGTGCTGGCATGGGGCTGTGGGCCCTCTCGGTGCTGCTTTCCTGATGGATGTCTGCTGCAGGGGGACAGCTGCTCCCAGCCATTCCCTGGGATGCTCTGGACACTCGTCCTCATGCTCTGGGCCTGGAAGGGTCTGTCTGCACCGTTTGGTCTGAGCTGGGCAGGGGTGGTGGGACTTGGCGTGGCCAGGGCTGAGCTGTGGGTGTGACCCTGTGGAAGCCCCGTGGGCTCCACCAGCGTGGAGCTGTGCTTGTGCTCGCCTCCATGCCCAGTGAGTGCCCGAGGGCGGGGAGGAGCCGTGGAGTCGCTCACATTGAGCTGGTGTTCAGCTGTGCAGAATAAACGTGGTTGGTTTTGTATGGCTGTGGTGGTACTGGCACCTGGGCAGGTGTGGCTGGTTGCTGTGGCTGTAGGGGCCCACCATTTCCCTCCCCTTGCCCCTCTGTCTACTGCACTGCTGCTGCTGCTGCTCCAACACATTTATTGGCAGCGCTGGCACCGCTGCTGGCACAGATGGACAGATGGACACCAGGGGCACAGGCACGACTCAGCAGAGGGAATGGGTCAGGGCCAGGCACAGGAGGGTTCAGATGGAGCCCAGGCAGCAGCATGGGGGTCTGAGGTCCCCCATGGGGGATGTCCCTTCCTGCCAGGACAGACAGGCTCCCTGGGGACCAGGTGGTGGGGCAGGATTCCATCTCCTCAGGAGCTGTGGCACAGCAGGGAGTGGAAGATTCCAGGGAGCCCCTGTGCTCCACAGGCCAGGCCATGTGTCTGTCCCCCCAGGACACCACACTGGAGTCACTGTCCCACCCCAGGGCTCCGCAGCAGTGGGGTGGGTAGAGGGGAGATGGGATCTCAAGCACTGCCCTGCTCTAGCACAAGGAGCTGGGGCCAGGGCCACATCGGGCCCAACATAGCAGCAGGTGGGGGTCTCAGGTTTGGGGGTCCTGGCAGTGGGGACAGCCTGCTGACTCCTCCTGGTGCTGCTCCACCTGCACCGTGCACAAGGCAAAGCCAAACCTGCTCTGGAGCCGGGCGGTGACCTCCTGCAGCACCATCTCCGTGTCAGCACCGGCATCTAGGAGCAGCAGGGCAGGGGCTCGTTCCTGGCACGGCCCGTGGGACCCCGGCCATGCCCCGTGCAGGTCACTCACCCACGGCCACGTGCACCGACACGGCGGCGTGGTTCAGAGTCAGTGCCCAGAGGTGCAGGTCATGGACACCCCGCACGCCGCGGGCCCCCAGCAGCGCCTCCTTCACCGCATCGAACTGCAGCCCCCGTGGAGCCCCTGCCAGCACCCCCTGGTCACACGGGCCACCCTCAGCCCCCAGACACGGCACCCGCCTGGCTGAGGCTGGGGCTTCCCCAGGGCAGCCAGGCTGGGCAGGGCGGCTTTGGGGTGAGACAGGCCTCACCCTGGGGCCAATGCACCTGGCTGCGCTGGAGAGGAGGAACTGGGGGGGTTCAGGTGGGGCAGGGGAGGCACAGAGGAGGGGAGCTGCCTCATGGCAAAGTGCTGCAGCAGATGGAGCTCCAGGAGCTCCTGTGCCCACCCTGTGCCTGGGTCTCACCCACTGCTCACCTTCCATGAGGACCATGAAGACGTCTCTGAGGATGGTGATGGTGGAGCCAAGGACGAAGACAGAGAAGAAGAGGGTACTGATGGGGTCCGCAATCTTGCACTGGGGCTGCAGAGAGGGGTCTCTGTGAGGCTGGGGGCAGAGTCCACGTGGCACCCTGCATGGCACCAGGACAGCTGCTCCCACGGGCAGCATTGGGGTGGCCCAGCCTGGGCACCTTGAAGTAGATGATGGTGGCAGCCACGAGGACGCTGACGCTCTGCAGCAGGTCACCCACCACGTGGACGAAGGCTGCCCGCACGCTGGTGCTGCCGGGCAGGGGGCTGGGCTGGCAGGACACAGAGCTCTCCAGCTGCTCGTAGGCCCCTGGGCCATGGCCGTGGCCAGCAGGGGACTGGTGCAGGATGTAGGCCATGCTGGAAGGAGCAGGGCTGGCTCAGTGCCGCACTGACAGGGCATGTGTGGGGGCCCTGCTTGGGCAAAGGGGGCACAGGCAGTCACACCTGGGGCTGGGGACAGTGGGAGAAGTGGGACTGGAGCGCCAGCAGGGCTGGAAGGTGTGCAGGAACAGGGCAGGGGTTTGGTCCTGGGGCTTGTGACAGGGCTTGGGAGGTGCTGCTTGGGGGACCAGGGAGTGTGGGGAATGGGGACGTGGGCACATGGACTGGAAGCCTTGAAAATGTGGGGGACAGGGAAGTGGGGGTGGCAGCGTCTGGGGACACGAGGCTGGTGCATGGGGACACAAAGTGACCCGGGGGCACATTTGGGGTTCCAGGGGCACGGGGGACAGGACTCAGGCTGATGGGGGCCATGGGTGCACACGTGGAACGTACACCAGATTGACACCAACGGCACAGGCGGATGTGGCCAGCATGGCTCGCGCCTCGATCTCGTAGTCGTTGCTGATGATGCGGGCGGCCGCCAGGTAGACCAGGGCCGCGGTCACAACCCAGATAGAGAGGACAGAGGCCAGCGCACCCAGCGTCTCTGTGGGGTGACACCCATCAGCACCAACCCGGCCGTGGGGGCCCCGGAGCCCGCAGGGCCGCGCCCCTCAGCTCACCTGAGCGGTGCCAGCCGAAGGTCATGGTCTTGGTGGGCGGGCGGCTGGAGACCCAGAGGGAGAAGAGGCTGACGGACATGCTGCCCACGTCCGTCAGCAGGTGGGCTGCATCCGTCATGATGGCCAGGCTGTGTGCCAGGTAGCCGCCTGCGGGCACAGAGCAGCTGGCACCCCGCGCCGAGCCCGCAGCCCCGCGCCCCGGCCCGCCGCGTTACCTATCACCTCCCCGACCATGAAGAGGCAGCAGACGGCGCAGGCGACGCTCAGCTGCCGGCGGGCCTGGAGCCCGCCCTGCCCGGGGCTGGGGGTCGGGGGGCTGCAGCGGCAGCGCGGATCTGGAGCCGGGGGGGCCGCCGGTGCTGAGGAGTCTCCAGAGCCTGTGAAGAGACTGGGGGCGGGGGTCACTGCCGGCAACGCCGGCTCGGGGGCTCCTGCCCAGAGCCCCCGAGGGTCCTGCTGCCGCCCCCTGGTATGCGGCCAGGCGGGGCACCGGCGGAACCCCCCCCCCCAGCGGGACGAGCAGGCACGGGACGGAGCCGAAGACGGGAGTGGGGCGGGTACCGCGGGGAGGTGCAGGTGGGAGCGAGGTGTTGAGCCCGGGGCCAGGCTGCGGGACGGGCCAGCGGTGCGGAGACGTGGGGGGACGGGCCAGCGGGGAAGGGGCGGCGGGGGCCGGGGTGCCGGTGCGTGGGGCAGCTGTGCGGAAGCGGCAACGGGCAGCCCACCGGGACGGGGGCTAACGGATGAACGGCACCGGTGTGGGCGGGTGATGGATGGATGGATGGTACCGGTGTGCGTGGGTGACGTTTGGGCGCCGATAAGTGCGGGACAGACACCCGAGGGGGGAGCGAGGCTGGCGCACGGCGGGGCTGGTTCCGCTTGAGCGGAGGTGCCGGCGGCGGGCTGAGCGTGCCGGTGGCGGGGTGACGGTGCAAGCGGCGGACTTGCAGAGGGCTGGCGCGGGGACTGCGGAGGTGCCGGTGTCCGCTCGGATGGATGAAGGCACGGGGGAGGGCGGGGAGGGACGTGCCGGGGGTGCCGGTGTCGGCGGTGGGAGGTGGGAGCTGCGCGACGTGCCGGGGGTTTGCGGGTGCCGGAGGAGCCGAGGGCAATGGGGGCGATGGAGGTGCCGGGGATGATGGGCGAGCGGGTGCGGGAGGACCGAGGGTTGCAGATGCGGGAGATTATGGAGGTGACGGTGCGAGGAATTGCCGGGGAGCCTGGGAGGTGATGGGGTGCCGCGGGTGGCGGTGCCAGGGTGATGGGGGTGCCGGTGATGGACGTGCTAGCGCCGGTAATGGGATTGTCGGGACGATGGTGTGCCGGTGCTGATGGAAGTACCGGTGGTGACCGGAGTGTCGGGGGTGCCGGTGATGGGAGTGCCGTCGGTGCCGGAGGCGCCGGTGATGGAGTTGTGCTGGCGGTGGTGGGGATGCCGGGGTGATGGGTGCCGGTGATGGGTGCCGGGGCGATGGGTGCCGGGGCGATGGGTGCCGGGTGCCAGGGTGATGGGTGCCGGGGTTATGGGTGCCGGGGTTATGGGTGCCGGTGATAGGTGCCGGGGTTATGGGTGCCGGTGATGGATGCCGGAGCAATGGGTGCCGGTGATGGATGCCGGGGCGATGGGTGCCGGTGATGGATGCCGGAGCAATGGGTGCCGGGGCGATGGGTGCCGGTGATGGGTGCCGGTGATAGGTGCCGGGGTGATGGGATGCCGGGGCGATGGGTGCCGGTGATGGGTGCCGGAGCAATGGGTGCCGGGGCGATGGGTGCCGGTGATGGGTGCCGGTGATAGGTGCCGGGGTGATGGGATGCCGGGGCGATGGGTGCCGGTGATGGGTGCCGGAGCAATGGGTGCCGGTGCCGGCGGTACCTCTTGAGGCGCAGGCTGCCGTCGGCGCGGCCGCCCCGCGGGCTGACCAGGCGGGCGCTCTCGGTGCCGGTCGGGGACTCCATCCCGGGAACGAGCGGCGCCACGGGCACCGGCACCGTGGGCACCGGCACCGCCGAGCCCCGCCCCTGCCGTGACTCCGCCCCCGGCCCCGCCCCCGCGCGGGTGGCGGGGCGGTCCCCCCCCGGTGCCGCCGCTCCGGGCTCGGGGCGGGGGCGGCCCGGCGGGTGCGGGCGCTGCGGACCGGAGGATCTCCGGGAGAATACACCGGAGCTGCGTGTAAGGGCGCTGCTTTCGCGGGAGAAGCTCTTCGGGGACAGGACTCCGCCGCACCTCCTGTCCCCGGCAGGTGATGACACAACTGATCCTGGAATCCGTCTGAGCACGGGAAGGACGGGAGAGGAGCTGGGGAGAAGCCGGCACGGCGGGGATCGTGCCTGACCATGGGGATCACCTGCCGCGGTGTCACGCCGGAGCCGGTGCACAGGGGAGCGCAGGGCACAGCGTCTGTCCGGGCTGCAGGAAGGATTTTGGCGCTGCTCCCCTGCGATCCTCCGAGAGAAGCGCTGGGAGCGCGGGCTGGCTGAGCCGGAGGGGCTGCACTGGCAGGGGCTGCATGGCCGAGCCCAGAGCAGAGCGTCCAGTGCCCAGGAACCACCAGCGCACCCCGGGGTTGGCGCTGGGTCCAGCCCCGTCTGCGGCCAGGCAGAGCCCCCCCAGCGCGGCGACAGATGACACGGCCCGTGCTGCTCCGTGGTGCGGAGAGACTCAGGATGGGCTGCGGAGCCGGGGGCAGGAGCCTGGGGAGGGTCAGCAGGGGCAGGGCCGGGTCCTGACCGGGCAGGAGCAACCTCAGGACAGGCAGGGACAGCCGGCTGGGAGAAGGCTCCAGGGGTCCTGGGAGACATCCGGCAGACAGTGAACCAACAACGCACCCTTGGCGTGTCCTGGACACCATCCCGAGGCGCCGGGCCCAGCGCTGGGTGCCCAGAACACGAGGGACAGGGCCAGGGCCAGGCTGGGGACAGCCCCGAGCAGCCTGTGATGCTGCAGGGCTGGAGCGGCTCTGCCGGGTGAGGCTGAGGGAGCTGCGACTGCTGAGCCCGGGGCGGGGCAGGGCAGGGCAGGGCAGGGCAGGGCAGGGCAGGGCCCGGGGATCCCCGGGGTGGGGATCATCTGCAGGGAGGGCTGTGCAGGTGAGCCCCGGTGTGTGTGACACCTGCAGGGAGGGCTGTGCAGGTGAGCCCCGGTGCTCCCGGGGCGCCCGGGGCGGGGCCTCGGTAAGGGGCGGGGTCCCACTAGGAGGCGGGGCACCGATCAGGGGCGGAGTCCAACTATGGGCGGGGCTTCACTCAGGGGCGGGGCCTCATTCAGGGGCGGGGCCTGATCCCCGTGCCGTGCGCAGCCCGTCCTGTCCCGGCAGCCCCCGCGGCCCGCGCGGCGATGGCGGCGGCGGGCGCTGAGGAGCGGCGGGGGGCGGCGGGGCCGGAGCGCGCCCACAGCTCCGCTCCCGGCCCCGGCCCGCTGGGCTCGCTGCTCAGCCGCTTGCCGCTGGCGCCTGCCCCGGCCCCACGGCGTCGCACCGCCAGCCAGTGCAAGCCGGAGCCGCCGCTGCTGCGCACCAGTAAGCGGACTATCTACACGGCCGGGCGGCCGCCGTGGTACAGCGAGACCGGCGCGCCCGTAGACGAGGCCTTTGTCATCGGTGAGCGGTGGGACGGGGCCGGGGAGGGGATGGAGCTGGATCAGAAAGGAGATGGAGCCGAGAGCGGGCCGGGAGGGGATGGAGGCCGGACCGAGGCCGGGGTCGGGCTGCGGTCGGGAATCGTGGAACGAGGCCCCGAAGGAGGGGCTGGGACCGGGCCGGAGCCGGAGCCGGATCCGCGGCCGTGACGGATCCGGGCCGGGGCGGTGCCCCCGCCGCTCCCCGCAGGCCTGTGCGGCGGCAGCGCCTCCGGCAAGACCACGGTGGCGACGCGGATCATCGAGGCGCTGGACGTGCCCTGGGTCGTGCTGCTCTCCATGGACTCCTTCTACAAGGTGCGCGACGGGGCCCGGGGCAGCACTGAGCCGGGCCGACACTCCGGTTCCAGTGTGCCGCTGGGTGCTGCCGGGGCTCGGGGTGCGGGGATCGGGTGCGGCTCTGAGCAGGGCTGGGGTGCCGGTGGATGCCAGGATCCGGCACGGCCCTGAGCGCTGCCGGTGCCCCGGGCCGGGCGGTGCCTGCAGGTGCTGGATGAGGGGCAGCAGGCGCTGGCAGCCCGCAGCGACTACAACTTCGACCACCCCGATGCTTTTGACTTCGAGCTGCTCGTCAATGTCCTGCGCAAGCTCAAGAAGGGCAAGAGCGTGAAGGTGCCGGTGTACGACTTCACCACGCACAGCCGGCGCCGCGAGTGGGTGGGTGCCAGGGGCCGGGCTGCGCCTGGCTGGCAGGGTCCCGGGAACAGGGAACACCTCCGGGCCCTGCAGGGCCTGGAAGGCTAAAGGGAGGGGGCGGCTGGGGGTCATCAGAGAGGGGGACTGGGGGGATGGCATGGAGCAGAGTCTTGGGATCTAGAGCAAGGTTCGGGGTCTGTCCTGGCCTGGAGCATCATGCACAGGTATCAACTATGGCTCCAAGGCATTGGGTGCTGCAGGATGGTTATGGGGAGCCTCAACACAGTGGTGAGACCCCAGGGGGGTCAGTGCCCTGTCTGTGTCAGTGTTGGTGCTGCTGTGGCATGTGAGAGAAGCAGGACAAACCCAGCTCCTGTCTGCCTGCAGAAAACAGTGTATGGGGCCAACGTCATCGTGTTTGAAGGGATCCTGGCCTTCGCCAACAAGGAGCTGCTCAAGGTATCGCTGCCTCAGGTGGCCGCTGGCCCAGAGGGGATGATGTGGTGCAGCAGGACAGGCACCGGCCCTGGGTGCCACTGCAGCACCGCAGTGGGGGCTGTGGAGGGAGAGGTCACCGCGCTTGCTGGCAGAGCACTGCGTGTCACAGGGCTCAGGGGAGGTGATGCTGGGTGCCACTGCGGGGTGGAGGAGGGGAGTAACACAGGTGTGATGGGAGCTGCATAGGGGGTGCTCACCCCTCCCAGTTTTCCAGCTGCTGGACATGAAAGTGTTTGTGGACACGGACTCCGACATCCGCCTGGTGCGGCGGCTGCAGCGCGACATCATGGAGCGCGGGCGCGACGTGGCGGGGGTCATCAAGCAGTACAACAAGTTTGTGAAGCCGGCCTTCGAGCAGTACATCGAGCCCACCGTGCAGGTGGCCGACATCGTGGTGCCCAGGGGTGAGGCCAGAGCTGAGCCCGCCGTGGGGAGCGGGTGCTGTGGGGCAGGGCGGGTCAGCATCCGCCCCACCTGCCTCCTCTGCTCCACCCTCAGGTGGGGAAAACTTCGTGGCACTGGACCTCATTGTGCAGCACGTGCACAGCCAGCTGGAAAAGGTGAGCCAGGGCTGAGGAGGGGAAGGGTCCTGCATGCAGAGGGCAGGATTTGGCTGCACACAGACCTGTGCTCTGGGAGCACCTGGGGGGGGTGTTGGCATCACCTCTCTCTTCTCAAGAGGCCCCAGCATGGTGCTTGGGAGAGCAGATTGGTGAAGTGGGCACTGGGGAGGAGGGTGGGGAGCTGGGCTGTTGGGGCGGCTGTGCTGGCCTGTGGGTGACTGACAGGGTGTCTGTCCTTCCTGTTCCCCTGCGCTGCACCGTGACCTCTGCACCACCCAGCGGGAGATTACAGTCAGGTACGTGGGACCCACGGCTGCAGAGGAGCCTGTTCTGGGCTGGGGGGGCTGCTGGCACCCACTGGGTTCCGTGTCCCTGCTGGCAGAGCTTTGCTGAGGTGCCTGAGCATAGCTGCTCCTCCCTAGGGCTGCAGGGGCTGTGCTCAGCTCCTCAGGGCCTGTCTGGCTGCAGCCCGGGGCTCTGTGTGACTCACTCCACACTGTGGCTGATGCATGTTGCCAGCTGCCTGCCCTGCTCCTGTCCCTGTCTGGAGCAGGGATCCTCTCCTGGCTGCTGAGTTACCCTGAGCTGCTCGCTTCTGTGGGAGAAGTGCCCTGCATGGTCCCTGTTCCTGGCACTTCATGTCCCCTTTGGGCAGGACAGCCCTTGTCCCTTGTGTTGATGCCCCGGTCCCAGGGTGCAGGGAATGTCCTGCCCTGCAGAGCTGCAGCTTCTGGTGCTGCAGAGGCTGCAGCAGCTGTGGGTGTGGTCTGGGAGGTTCACCCCAGGCTTTTTGGGCAGTCCAGCTCTGGGGTACCAGACTTGGGGTGTTCCTCAGGATCCAGGCAGGAAGGCCAAGCACGGTGCTGACCTTTCAGAGGGGTTTTCCTGGAGCCTTCTTTTGGCAGGGCCGTGTCCCTGCAAGGGCCCAGGTCTGTGAGTGTGTGTGTGCTGCAGAGCTGTGAGCACCTTCCTCCCTGCAGGGCAGCCCTGGCCTCGGCCCACCAAGGACAGCCCCTGCCCAAGACCCTGAGTGTCCTGGAGAGCACGCCGCAGGTGCGGGGCATGCACACCATCATCAGGTACATCCCTGCCCCTGGCCCCTGCCCCGGTCCCTGCTTGGTGGCAGCACACCACAAGGCCTGGTGTGAGTTTCTCCCCTTTGCCTTGGGACTGCAGTCGTGGGGGTTGGCCTGGAGCAGAATGGCTGAATGGAGCTGGCCCTGGCCCTGTGGGCACTTCTCTGGTGACCAGAGCTCTGCACATCTGCTTTGGGTGATTCCTGAGCCAAAGGCAGGCTTTTCCTACAGTGGGAGGGGACTGGTTGGCTCTTTCCTCACTGGAACACAGGTGGAGCAGCTGGTGGCATGGAGCAAGGTACCCCTTGCCCCTCTCCCAGGGCACTCGGGTTTAGAGGTAGCTTAGAGAAGAGACAGGGGCAGCTGCTTCTATGACTGCACCACTCTTGAGCTTTTCTTTCCCCTCTGATGCTCCTTTTTTCCAGATGACAATAGCATCAGTTAGTGAAGGGTCAGGGGCTGAGGCCTTTAGGACTACAGAGAGGTTCATTGTTTTTGCAGCTGCAGAACCTGGCAGCCCTGGGTGTGTTTCTCCTCAGCAGAGAGGGG